GATTTCTGTGTTTGCCGATTTTACTAAACCTCATTTTTCATGGATGCCAGAACATGTGTGAAGAGAAAAAGCTGATTTATTTGGACCATTTTCTTCTAACCCTCGGTGCGTCTTTGACTGAGAGCTGAGGAGCGTTTGTTCCTAAGTGTGGTTAATGATGTCACTCTGGCTGAGCACACAGTTTAACTCGTTTGTCCTTCTCAACAAGTTTGAACGCTTTCAAAACCCCAACGACTCAAATGTGTTTTTCTGCGTACGGGTTCCCTCAGAAATAAAATGTAACTTTTAAAAGACACGATTTAAAAACAAACGTTTTATTTGTTCAGCACCGCTCGGCGAGCAGCGTGAAATGTGTACACAGAACAAGGACAAAGAACAAAACCTGTCACCAAAACACAGAAATGTTCATTACAAACAGACTTTCAGGGACGGGTAAGAACGAGCCTGTTCCTGAGGAAACTCAGACTTTCACCAACAACACAAAGACATTTTGAAATGGTTTCAAATCAAATTATGAGGGAGAAGAAGCAACATAACAGGTGCAAACACAGACCAGCGCTGCACGAATCAGCATTTCACATTCTTCTACTTCATCTCTCAGTCTGCTGCGTCCGTCGCAAAAACACCGCCACAGCAGAGGCCTCTTCACATCCGACATGTTACCATGGACGCAGGTCGGCCCGAGAACGGCTGGTTTTATAAATGCAAACGGAAACCACTCGAGGAGCCCGGTCACCAGTTTGGACCTGTGGAGGTGGGGACAGAAAGAGATGAGGTCAGACAAAAAAAGGAAAGAAACTCCAGGCTAACAGGGGGGTGAAGAATAAACCAAACAAACAAGGATTTAACTGGTCGAACTGGAAAGAGACGAGGCGAGAAGACTGGATTGGACGAGATCCAGGAAGCTGATCTGTGTGGGCGGGTGAGGAAACCACCTTTGATTAAAATGTGTCAGCAGGGTAAAGTTCAGAGGGAATATCCCACTAACCGAGCGCCTTAGACAGGCAGGGAGAAGGGGAGGAGCTTAAGGTCCGTTACACAACGGGGACAAACCAAATAAAGCCGACTAAATGTGTCACAGCCAGCCTCAGATAGCAGCGAGCCGCGGCTGTGACGTCTGCCTTTCAGCAGCTTTACAACCAGCTCCAGGTGGAGGCAGTCAGAATAAAGACTGAGAGGTGGGGTTAAAGAGGGAGGAGCTTCTGCTGGTGACAGCAACGGAAGGAAAAAGGTGATCTTTTTAAGAGAAAACTTTTTTCTCTTATATGTTTTTAACATGAGAGCCGGTGTGTGGCTTTGGTTAAAAACAATATTTATTCACCACAGAAATGACCATCAGTGTCAGACGACCTTAAACCCTGAGAATATGAGCAGTGAGGAGGATCAGCCACTCGTCACTTTTCATTTCTTTTAGCCATCTTGTTAAATTTACCTGCAGAGCTGTTGCGGAAGTTCTGTTTCTGAAAGCCGAAGCGACTGTTCCCGTGTTGGGCGCCTGCGTTCAGCCTGTTCAGAGCTCCTCTCCTCGGTCCCTGTGGAGCAGAAAAAGACCCAAGTCACTGGCAGTGACCCAGTTCAGGGACGGCGTCCTTCAAGGGACGATTACATTAAACTTTTATAGCTTGTGAATTTTCCTTTTAGTCATATAAGACAAACATAGTGGCGCCAATATATTAAAAGAACAATATTTGTGTCTTGTATATACAATACCTCAATATAGACGCTGTAAAAATTGTCTTTGAGATGGAGATTTGAAATGATATGAAACAGAAATATGTGTCCTGAATCTTTACTGAAGCTCAGTATTTGAAACATGGACACGTTTCACTGCTCTCAGGTTTTAATTAACCCTTTAAGACCTACCATAGAACCAAGTCCGCCAGAGCTTATATTATATTTTTACATGCTGTGGAGCCATTTTTGGGAGCATTTCAAGTTGCTATACATCAATACAACCATTATAGCCCAAATTTTAATAATATGTCTGCATTAAGTGCATAGTAATTACATAAATTGCAAAAAAGTGCAATAAACTACAAAAAAATTGAAAATCGTTTTTGTTTTTTTAACATATATTTGTAGTTAGAGAAATTTAAGAGGCTTATCCCTCAAAACTGTAAATACAAAAAAGTTGCACAAAATAGTTTCCCACCACAGGAAATTTATTTTGAGTGTCTTCATAGTTTTATTTTTGAAATACACCAATTTTTATACACTGCAGGAAAAACGAAAATAAATATTATACTGCAAATTTGCAAAAAAACAGCATATGCATCAAAATAAACTATTTCCAGCAGTGCAATATGAGTCCTAAGCATCCCAGAAACGACACAGAAAAGCATAAAGTCAAACATAACTTTTAAAAACAACAGTATAGGCTCATAAAGCCCTGAAGGTAAAAAACTACATTTCCGCGTTTTGGGCAGGAAATGGCGGACATGCGATAGTTTGCGCTGACGTCTGTTCCGACGTAGGAAGTGTTACGAACAGCTGATCGGATCGGCAAAGCGTGTTTCTGGAATATTGTGTTTTTGTTCCTGCAAGTGCTTTTTATGCAGTTTTTGCAAAGCTATATGTGGAAGGAAACCGTGACGAGGACAAGCTGATGGCATAAGATGCAAGTACAACTCCTCCGGTTTCATATGCAAAAACCATGATTGCGCTAGCTCACGTGGTTGCAGAGCTACCGGGATTTAAAAATAGTTACGCAAAACGGAGCGTGCCCGCTCCGACCGGCTTTAAAGGGTTAAACACATCAGCTAATCCCAGTTTAAGATACTTAACATGGCAAAAATAAAAATAAAAAATCAGTAAAAGTAAAAAAATAAATAAATTAAATACAAAACTAAATTACTTTCATCCTTTGCTGTTTAAAACACTTCTGGTGGAAAGTCTAAGGATTTCTAGGCAACTTGAGCAGCACATCGTAAACTAGACCGTCCCATTTAACAGCCTCAGACTTCAAGCGCTCAAAGGATGAAGTCCCTGGATTGGGACACGCCCACTTTGACCTTTTCAGGAAGTCATCACCAAACGTGTCACATGACTAAGCCAGGTGAGACTCGCTGTAACTCACCGTGCTTCCATCTCGTTTCCTGTGGTCCATTTGAGGCATCTTGTCACTGTATCCCATTACTGGATCACTGACAAAAAAAAACAAAAACACATTTTAAAACTATTTAATCAGTGACAAGAATAAAAGAAACTTTACTTCAGTTAAAACTGAAGGATATTGTGCTTGACTGTACTCAAGTGTCCTAAAGACATTAAAGCCTGGATGGCCCTCAACCTTCTCCACATCTTCTCTTTGGCTTTAGACGTGTTGATTTTATTGTATTCTATTTATTTTTGGTCTTTTTCGTTGCTGTTTTTATGCGTTTACTCCTCTGTGCAGCATGTTGGCCCACAGTGGTTGTGTGCAGCTGGTACACTGGTGTTATATTAACACAACAGTGAGTCAAATGTCAATGTGCAGAAAACATCTGGAGGCAAACAAACATCTTTTTAATACATGCGTCGACTCTTCTTTCAGACACCAGGTGCAGCCTGCTAAAGGTGGAGCTATCCATTATCATCCCACTGAGCCACTGATGAAAACCACAAGAAAGAATAAAAGCCCTACTGCAGGTCA